AGCCTTGTGAAATGAAGGGGCCATTGTGACACGGCAGAGCACAATGGATCCAAGGGACCATTGTGACACTGTAGAGCCTCGTGGAACCAAGGACATCATTGTGGCTCTCTTGGGCTGCATGTTACCAAGGGACCAGAGCAAAGCAGCGGTGCGGGAGTTGGCCCAGCTGTACCTGAGTCAACCAGATTTTACCCCGGATAAACTGGATGTGAATTTCAAGCCCTAGGAATCATTTGTTTAACTTAGGGTGAGCTTGAGAATTCCCCCATAAGCCTTTAGTGTTGTTATGCTAAGTTGTCCAAGTTTTCCTCCCCTATTGGTTACTTGTTTGTCCTGTATGGTTATTGTTCTAGAGTGTTCTACCCTCAAGTGTATATATTGTTGCTTTGCCTTTATCTCAGGTCTTTGAATCTCACCCCTTGTACTGTGCTCAACTTCTCCATGTTTATTGTTTTTCCCCCCGTTTACTAAAGTTCTTTTTGGGAAACTCCATTGATCCTGCTTGTTGTAGCATTGGGCAGTAGGACGGTTGGGACAGACGGAGATGAGAGATCTCTGAAGCCAGGTCTTGGAACTTGTGGTTTATTGCAAAGGGTTTTGGGTGCAGGGGCCTTGTTTGGAGCTGCCAGCCACAGCTTGGAGGAGGCCCAAAAGAGGAGCTCAAAAGTGGAACCCAAAATGGATGCCCGAAAGAGGAGGGGAGTTCCCGTTACAATACAATAAATCTTCTTCTGTGCTGCATATTCTAATTTTCACTAACCAATATAATACAAGATGCAAATCTTATAGCATTTATAAATAGCCTATAAGAATCATTACATTACCATACTGTGTTACATTTTAAACCCTAAAAACTACTCTTTGGACCCCTTTTTTGACCTCCTTTGTCAAGCTAGTACGGTCTGCTCTGACCCTTGGACCTGTCTGCAAGCAGAGGGTNACAGAGAAACAGAGCAGGCAAAGAAAGGCAACAAAGAAAGGAGGACACAAAGACAATAATTTGAGAAGGTGGCAGGCTGAAAAATAAACTGGAAGTGATGGAAAATGATTGAGGCAGAAATAATTCTGGAAGTTTTATTTACTATCAAAATAGATCCCACACACCCAGCCCCACATAATCCTGGTCCAACACCCAAGAATTTGGATCCCACTTCTCCCAGTCTCCTTCCAACCCCATCACACCCTGGAGGCTGTGGAATTTAATAATTTTGACATGGGACTGAGGTTTTTTTAGGTGGGAATAAGACAATTTGAGGTGGTGTTGAGCTCTTTTGGGGTAAGATTGAATTGTTTTTGGTGGGACTGAGTCAGTTTGAGGTGACAAATCAATCCATCTTGACTTTTAGAGTGCAAAGATATGGAGAACACGTCCTGAAATCCCCCAAGAACCCACAAATCCTACAGAACATGTCCCCAAACCATAAATTCCACCTGAAATAGCTGTGAAATCCTTGATCAATTACTTTCTTTTTTAGTCTTATTTCATGTGTTTTTAAGTGATAAAAATGAATCAAGGAGAACTTGGGGCCAAACCAAAAGGAAAACCAGCCAGGTGTCCTCTCAGCGCAGATCACTGGGAATATGGGTCACCAGGGCTCTGACCAATGTGGATCCTTCCAAGAAGGATGAAGCTGGAGTGGTGCATGATGCTGTTCCTGCAGTCAGGGCATTTGCAGGGCTTCCCTTATCATTGCCTTCATTGGTGTTTGGTCCAGTGAGGGCTCTGGGTGAAGCTCTTCCCACACTGGGGACACTCGTAGGGCCTCTCCCCAGTGTGGATGCGCTGGTGCGTGATGAGGTTGGAGTTGTGCTTGAAGCCCTTCCTGCAATTAGGGCAGTGAAAGGGCCTTTCCTCAGTGTGAATCTGCTGATGCTGGAGGCTATTGGAGCTGCTCTGAAACCTCTTCCTACACTGTGGATACTGTTAGGGCCTCTCCCCAGTGTGGATGCATTGGTGGATGACATGGGCAGAGCTGCAGCTGAAGCCCTTCCCACACTCCCCACACTCATAAGCCCATTTCCTAGCACAGATCATCTGGTGGCTGATCAGGGTGCTGCTCTGCCTGAAGTTCTTCTCACACTCCAAGCACCTGTGGGCCTTCTCCCAATCATGAAGCTGTTCATGGACCACCAGCTCTGAGCTGTGGCTGAAGCTCTGTCCACCTTCCTGGCACTGGGTGGGTATTTCCTCCTCAGAGCACCCTGGGCTGGGTTTGCAACCCCTCTTCCTGTGGGATCTCTGGGGACTTTCCTCCCCATTGGATTCCTGTGCTGTGGAGCCAGTCAAAACAGCCTCTTCCATGAGATTCTGCTGAGGAGATGTGTCCTTCCTGGTCTCCATCTTCAGCTCCTTGTCGGGGCAGGAAGGACAAGGAAAGGATGAGATTTGCCTCTGTGCCAGAGGGAAGGGTAAGGAGATCCCCCCAGTGCATCCCCAGCAGGACGGCGTTGGCAGTGGGGTTGTCCTGCAGCCTGGGGCTGTGCTGGGTTGGGAGATGGAGCAGGAGAGAGGGGGAAAGGGGCACTGAATTCCTCCTCACCTGCCTGGAAATCCCAGGGCTCCTTCCTCTTCCTCGCAGCCTCCTCCTCCATCTGGTGAAAGTTTGGGGATGGGAAATCCTGTTTTGGGAGGAAAACAAGGGATGAGTACATTGAATTTTGTACTGGTTTCAAGGCAAATCTGTGGGAGAGTCTAAGCCAGAATAACAATTTAATAAGAAAATTTAGATCAAGGCAATGATACAGAAACCCTGCCTTAAACTGTTCTCTGACCCCAAGTGCCTTTGACAACAGAAAGGTTTCCTCCTTTGAGCAGGTTGTTTTTCTCTCTGGAAGAACTCTTGGAAACTTGGACACAGCTTCCTCTGAGCAACTTATGGGAGAACTGATGAGGAAAATGGCTGTTGTGGGTGGCCAGTGTAAAGAAAATATTTTGTTGTTATTCCTTGAAAAGTTTGTTAAAATCATTGGAGGAAAGGGAGCAAATGATACCAGCAAGACTGACAAGGTTTATTCACCCAATGGTGAGGAACACAAGGCTGTTAAAAGTCCCCCAAGAAGCCCAGCTCAAGTAGCTAAATTCCCGAAAACTACTGAATTCCAAGGCTTGGATTCTGTGCCTCAGATTCCCACACATTTAATATAAAATCCTTTAACTCTTAACATGTGAAGTCACCCCAAAATGTTCCAGGTAAGTAGGATTAGAAAGAGAAGGAAGAGAACAACAGAAAGACAGAAGATCCATAGAAAGTGCCAACTGCTTGGGTTCCAGCATCACCAACAGAGGAACCCCAGGAGAAGGCAGGATCCAGACCCTGGGCTGGGCTCATGCTCTGGCTTTTAACCCCCTGGGCCTTCGTGGCCCTGCCCCTGGGGTGGGACTGCCAGCTGCTTGTCCAATCAGAGTCAGGGTAGGCACCAGCTGCCTAAGTGTGATTGATTGATTAACAGCTCAGCCAATCAGAGCTGGGTGAACACCATCCTCTGCTGTGTGATTGAAAGCTCTGCCAGGCCAGGGCTGGGGGCGGGGCTCTGTTCCACCACAAACCAAGGCCTGACCCGGCTCTGACCCTACACAGGCATTCCGAGCATCGGGACATCGATCTCATCCAGACTCTGACAGCAACCACGGTGACACTTTGGAACCTTATGGAACCACGGGTCAGTTGAGACAATGGAGATCCAAGGAAAAGATTGTGAGACAATGGAATCCGGGAATCATGGAATCAAGGAGACCATTATGCAACTCAGGGGCCCTATGGATTCAAGGGTCAGTGATAGAACTGTTTTGTCCATATAAAAAAGGAGCCCTTGTGACACAATGGGGCAGCATGGAGCCAAGGGACTCCTATGACTCTGTTGGGACTCATGAAATCAAGAAGCCATTGTGACATTGCCAGACCTCATGGAATCGAGACCATTGTGACAATGTGGGGTTCCATGAAATCAAGGGAACATGGAACAGGTCTGCCTGGTTTGGCCTCCTGGGGATTGTCTGACAGGTGCCACTGAATTTGACATGCCAAGGGCCATTTCCCATCTGACCATGAAGCACTGGGGCTCTGTGCTTTTATTCCTGTGGGAAAGAACTTTCTTTCTTATCTAGGCATCCATGGCCAAAATTGGGATTCTGCATCTAAAAATTCCTATATCCAGGGGTTACTCCTGGATGAAAGCTGCCCATACAGTCAAGTCTGGCCAGACTTGGCCTCTGGTGACTGCCTCTCATCTGATCATGCATCACTGGGGCTCACTTGTTTCCTTCATATGGAGACCATTGTGACACTGTGGAGCATTGTGGAACCAAGGGGCCATGGTGACACTGCAGACCCTTGAGGAGCCTGTTACTCTGTAGGAACTTGTGGAACCAAGTGGAACATTGTTACCCTGCAGAGTACCATGGATGCAAGGGGCCACTGTGACACTGTGGGGCCTCATGGAACCAAGCACATCTTTGTGGCTCTGTGGGGCCGCATGATCCCAAGGGGCCAATGTGAAGCAGTGGGGCTTCATGGAACCAAGAGGCCCTTGCTGCACTTCAGGGCCTCGTGGAGCCAAAGGGCTGTTGTGATCCTGCAGAGCACCATGGTTTCATGGAGAGCATTGTGGCATTGCAAGGCCC